GTATTGTGAGATCACTTCCTTTAACCACCTTGACGACAGCGCGGCAACTAGGTTTGCCGCGTTTTGCACGCCGCAATGGACATTGTGGCAACTATAGTTGCCACACCCTTTACATTCAGTTTTTTCTTGAACGCGCCATTTCTTCCCAGGTTTTTTGTGTTCATTTTTTAGGCCATACCACAACATAACCAAGAACCACGCGGCTTATAGAATGACCAAATATTCTTTAGTTTGGCAGAGGTTTTTCGGACCGGACGAAAATATCCGTTCAGTTCATTCCTCATTTTCTTTTCATTAACACGAACATGTAGATAAAAAAGAATATTAGAAGTGAGTACAAAGCTACTCGTGTGGCAAGATATGTGTTTTTACCGAAACAACCACGTCCAAAATAATTTTGAAATCACTAAAGCAAAAGTAAGTGAAACTTGCCTTTTCAATGCTGTAACACATCATTCGACCGCACTTTCACATGTGTACCTTCCAATAAGTTTGACACACCGAATATCAGTGAAAACATTTTGTCGCATCGAAGTATTGCGTATTTAAAGCTCAAAATCCACAGATTTGTTGTGAGGCGGCGGCGCTCGCAAAATCGCTCTGGTCCCACGCGGCCAAAAATGCCAAAACGCGCGATGTCGTCAACGTGTTAAAGGAGGAATTCACGATAAGAACGAAGGTCAAAGAAGGGGAAAATTGCATAGTTGGGAGACAGGCGGACCTCCTGAGGGTGCTGACCGACGCGCAATTGGCAGCGAAAGATTTGACCTCGGCGATCTAGCATGGCTCACTCTTGGCGCGGTTGGCGGGTACGCCCACCGACTATCTAATCACTCGCCGCAGGTCTATACGTGGCGAGTGATTAGATAGCAGAGAGAGCGTAGTGTTGAAGAGGGCACAGCGATGAGAGTCGCATCAATGCGCAAATCAACGGGCAAGGAAGGGGTCCCATTTCTCGGGTTTCGGGCCGTTTCAAATGGTTTCTTCTTCATCCCTGCTCCACTGACCACCTCTACCCTATTTTAATGAGATAACTTCCATCGTATATTCTGCCTTTAAAAACGATTTGTTTCGATATTTTGGCTGGGAAAGTATTAATATGTTGTGTTCTTATACGCTTTTCTGGAATCAAATGGGAATGGGGCAATGCAATGTGAAGGGGTAAGGTTTTCGCCATTCGAATGATATTTCCAACACATTGACCTTGCTTTGCAGTTTTGGCTTGATACATTTGCATGAAGAAAGGTAGGACAGCGATTCATGTTCTTGATAACTTAAATTCAATTCACAAGGAAAACTTGTTGCAGATTCTTCCTCTGTCTTTGGTGTTTGTTGGAATGATTGCCTTCAATAACCTTTGCCTTAAACACGTTGGCGTATCATTCTATTATCTGGGACGTTGTCTCACCACTGTGTTCAATGTGGTGAGTCTGGTATCCTCAAATCAGTGGATATTTCATTACACTTGCGCACTTGACAATTTCCGAAGCTCAATAAACTATTAGGTTTAGGTGTGTACCTATTTGATTTTGGGCCAGAAAACTTCCGCGCGAGCTATAGGCTGTTGTTTCGTTATAGTGGCCGGATTTCTAATGGGTGTCGATCAAGAGGATGCCTCAGGTTTGGATACGGATATGGTTTGAATCACTCAATTCAATGCTCGGATTTCATGAGAATTGTGTCCATGAGATGTTTCGGCTTCCTTGTACTTTCATAGTTTTCAGGAACTCTTTCCGTTATTGGGGTTATATATGGTGTTTTGGCATCGCTCTGTGTTGCTCTGAATGCCATCTACACGCAGAGGTTTTTTTTGCACATTTTCCATACATTACAGCGGTTTTGTTTGTTGTCATGCATAAACGTTTACTAATTGTGTTTTCTCTTATTCATTTAATTTTAGTTCTCTTCCTATCGTGGGCGACTCCATTTGGCGATTGACTATGTATAATAATCTCAACGCTTTGGTTCTTTTCCTACCTTTCATGCTTTTCTTGTAAGTCAAGTACTCAAGTAAGAACCGAACTTAAGTATAATGATTCGCAGCGAGCTCGTTAAATTAATGTTTTAATGGTTTCAGAGGAGAATTCGGCGAACTACTGTATTTCCCTCGATTGTTTAGCCCAGTATTTTGGATGTGGATGTCGCTGTCCGGTGTATTTGGTTTTCTCATGGGTTATGTCACCGGTTGGCAGATTCCAGGTATGTCATGTTGATGTATGAAACACAAAACGAGAATTGGCTAGCGAAAGCAAGCAAAGTTACTAGCAATACATGGTATGTCCAAATTGGTTATCAGATGATTTACTGTAGTCTTTTAATGCGCTTAATTCTGCGGGTCTCATCAGTAAGGAGAGGCATGTGGTGCGACAGTTTATATTGCACGAAGTATTCCACTTTTTTCTTGAAGTCCAGCTCCGGGGTGGGCGTAATTTTAAGTGAAATGGTTCACATGCCCCCGGGATTCCCTCCTCTAGCAAGAATTGGAATTCCTGTAGCCGGCAAGAACTGTCACACCACATACCCCTCCCTCTTTCTGGATGAGACCCAATTCTGCATTCAAAAGGAAAACCGTGAGATGAAAATGCGGCCGATGTTGTAATCTCGCGGCCGATGTTGTATCTCGGCGCGAGCTTCGCGTTTGCACGCAGTGATCTGTTGACTCTGAAAGTACTGCGTCCTTTTACCTTTGAATTTAGTTAGTAGGGATATTTCACAGCTTTGGCTGGACTTTCTAAATCAGCTATACTAAGATTTTTTCGTTAATTCTCATTGTAGGTTTCCCTTATCAAGTGCATAAGTTCCAAAAATAAGTTATGTAAATGTTTTTATGTCACCCTTACTCCGTCATCAACTGCGTATCAAGAATATCCAAGAATTCACGAAATTTTAGGCCACTTCTGCCCTAACTCACAACATATCGGGTACAGCCAAGGCTGCTGCTCAAACTGTGATGGCAGTAGTGTACTTCTCAGAAATTAAGACGTTCATGTGGTTTGTTTGTGCTCATTTTCTTTTACACTCTTTCCTTTTTTACTTCGGTTTCGAGCGTAGGTTACGCATTATAAGCGACTCTACTTGTTCATAATGACAAGGTAGAATAGTAGCTATAGCCGAAATTGATATACGGTAGAGGTCAAAAGTATTAGTGAAAAAAGTTTTCGTGTCTTATTGGACCTCTTTCTTTTCCTTTTCCCTTTCCTCGGAACGCTTTTCTTACGAAACGCGCATTGTTCAAATACACATGCTGCAGATAGCTCGCAACATTAAAAGAGGTAACATATCAGATTTGAGCAACCTGATTGAAACTGCAGTAATACCTTGAGACTCTGTGGCGCACGCTTACAGCTTGATTTTGGATTAGATATATTTCGATTAGAGATCTTGCGATGTATGCGACAGCTACTGAAATAAATGGGAAAGAGGTAGTGCAGGGAAGATTGTTCCAACGAGTACGTTCGACCCTTCTGTGCATAATGCAGATCACTCTCTTGGGCTAGGGTGCTAGATGCACATATTCCCTTACATTTTGGTTGATGAATACTACCTCTATTATGTGTTTGTGGACTTGATTCGTCAGAGCTGACTTCTCGGGATTTGTGCTAAACGCTGTTTTCAAAGATATTTTCTCCTATGAAAAGGCTCTAAATTCACATGGAACCTTGGTTGGGCGCTTTGACCGATAGATTCTGAAATGCTGGTTACAAGTATGGCGAATAAATTGCTATACGAATCCAAGTATTACTAAAAACCTCTACCGTAAATCAATTTCGGCGTCGATCGTCCCCTTCTGGGATGCGCCACGCACTCGACTTCCATTCAAAATCATAATGACATTTGAATGCGGTGCCCATACAATGACATAGGGGAACCAGCCGATGTAGAAGACGGTTTTCTATACGCCCAGACTAGTCTGGTGCCAACTAACAGACCCCTGGTGATGCAAAACCCTGTTGCCAGGCACTGTCCTTTACGCCTCTTCTGCCATCAAGCAGGATAACAGATTCGTAGAAATTCATTGGAAATACAGTGCGCTTTTGGTTGACGTTTAAAGGTTCCCAGCAACTGACGGCGGGCCCGCAAATGAATGCCATATTCGTAGTTAAGGCACTGTTTTTCCTTCAGCGCGAATGTTGAGATTTAGACCCAATTTTACAAAAGTCGACGTTTGTAGTTCTAGTACATGCTGTTTTTTCCTCCTTAGTCGTTTGCCGTTGTGCATCATGAATCCCAAGAACGGCCTGGGAGATGAAGGTTTTTCTCATGGGGTGCACAGTACACAAAAAAAATATTCTATCCTGTGAAAACATAGGAAACCCCTGACCTTGAGATTTAAAATTATTTTGCAGTATCTTTGCATGGGCTACTGCAGGTACAGGCTCATTGTAGCTATCAAAACCAATATCGAAAAAAAAACTTATACTCGATATCAGTGAGTTGGGGTGGGCGCGTCACCGGAAGTGACGTGTTGGAAGCAGCTTATTCACATAGAAACTATGTGCATACATACAACTTCCAACTACATCCCTGGCAAATTAGCAAAGCACCGCACACTATCCACGACCTCTATCAAGCACTCACTGATCGGACTTACCCACCCCAGCTTCCGATATCGACTGGCTTGCAAAAATAGTACTAAATTGATACGGATACGCTCTTGGAAATCTGCGTGAGCTCCGCGTTAACACTTTATATACTTCAAGCTATTCTATGACGAGTAATGCATCGTTCTATTCGGCCTCACCTCCACACTATGAAGAACAAGAAATGACTAAAAGCTAGTTACGCGCCTGTTTCGGGTCTCGTCTTCGTTAACTTCTCTCATATATAAACTGTGCTCCAGATTGCCTCCATGAATCTTCGGATCGACGACCATTGATGAGCACTAAAGGGGAAGATGAATGACGGTGTTGTATAGCGCTATTATATTCAATGTTCATAGTAAGGCCAATGTTTTTATGGATTTCACTTCAAACCTTGCTTTTATTGTGAAGTCCATTTATTCGATTAGGATGGGTTTAATCCTTTTTTATGTGCAATTTTCATCTTTCACAACTGTACTTACTTATCGTTCCCTGTATATACAATTGAAACTTTTAATTTGAAAGCTTTTAATGACTGGTCCTCTGATATCGTGACCTCTGTGATGCTATTTTCTAACCAAAAATATCTATTAAATATATTTCAGTTTTTTTTGGATCAAGCAACTGTGCAAAAAAACGCTTGCTTTACTCTTGCAGCATTGATTGAGCAGAGAGGTTTGTGTGTATAAATCCCAATGTCTGTGGTGCTGTGAATTCCGCTCAAACCACCGGGCAACTCCTCCGTTGCTCGTTTGGACTCAAACCCGTGAGAATAAAACCCTGACTTTCATCGACTAACAGCTAGCACCAGCGCTTGCAATACAGCCAATCTGACTCTGAATAAACATAGAATGCATGGCAGAAATCAACTGATGTGCGCGTGATAACTTATTTCTCCTTTTACGACTACTGAAAGATAACGTAAACGTGAACTTTCGGAGAACCCGTTCAGGAACAGCGAGGATGGGTTTCCATCGTTTTACTCTTGAAGTTGTCAGAGATAAAGCGAAAAATACGTAAAATTCTATTATGTTTCCAAAAGTCTGCCCATTCCATGTGTATGCTGCAAACTTTGAGGATATATTTTTGACCTTCCATTGTAAAACATATGTAAACCCTAGTCAATGATCTCTTCACTGCATTTCTTCCGTGGTATTTCGCAGCGATTATGGCTAAGAAAATCGACTTAGATTGAAAGCATAGTTTGACTAGCCTTGAAATTTCAAAACCAGAAAACGCAATCAGGAATGATACTGCAGACCCTAACGTCTCCGATGGACCTCCAGAGTGTGTTCACGCCATGCCAAACAGTTGGTTGCCAATGTCCGAAAACTCCTGGAGTTGTCTGGAAACAATCTCTGGTGCAATGCCCACTAACTGACACAGCTTTACTGCAGTCATCATAACACAATAGCCATTCCTTACTAAGCTACCCAAAAAGAAGAGAAATTATGGCAAAAAAAAAAGAGGTTTCGTGAGGTGACCCGCATCAGCCCTTCAGCTTTGCCTAACATCTTGATTACCGATATGTTTGCACGACTACCTCAGCCTCAAATACCAGATGTCAACTGCAGCAATTGACTGCATTGGCACACATGCTAAATTCTCATGAAATAACTCACATGTCCAACGTGTCGTGAATGATGCCACGTTGGACCAACTCCATTTCTGCAATTGCACAATTTTCTGTATTTAAAGCGAGGTTCTTGGTGATAGCAAGATGGTTTCTCAAGTAAATCAATACCGCACGCCATGGCTCCACGCGTAGATGACCAGAGATTCCAACGTCATTCCACCTTCAACTTGAGAGGCAACTTCCGGAGTTGGTGAAGCTGCGAGCGATTCGTTCACTGATGCTCCTACCAACGAACTTCACTGCTGTTGTAGTTCAATAATGTGGGCAAGCAGATGGGACCTCCAACACTATGCGTAGAAAACATTACAAAGATCACTTCATCCGAGCAGCGATCGTCAAGAATTTTGAAGAAGGTCCACCAAAGTCTCCAAGCCCCTCATGGGATGTTCTGTCCCGCCATTTGTGTTCAGCCGATCCGGCCTCAACAGAATACCATCTGCTTCTGTTGCTGCTGATTCAACTAAAAGAGGGAGAGCTTCATGATCCGGATTACTTGAAAACCGACTTCTTCCAATGTTTTGCCTCGAAGCTCCAGGATGTACAGAAAACGGCATTCACAAGTCACCTGCTGGATGTTGTCGATTATGATGGGGCATACGAAATTCACAAATGGACAAAGACTTTTAGGACAACCTAATAAATGCATGATGACCTTGAAGGTCGAACACCGGAATTAAGCCTGATGGCGTGGAATTTGATCAGATACAATCGCACCTTCGATTCTAAAAATTCGGCGCTCATGTCGTTACAGGGGACATACAGCTGACTGAGCTAGTTACAGAACTTGGGACAGCTGGAAAGGAATTATGGTGGAGGAGTGTAAAATTTCTGTTCCCTCGTTAGGGTTCCTTCTCTCCATGGCTGAGTTCCAGCGTCACTTACCAGCAGTTTTCAAAGGTCCTGTTTTGAACGTCCCCCTCCCCACCAAAAACATTAGCGCCCCAATTCACCCATTTCCTCGTCTCGCACTGGCATGGATGCCTTGCTTCTGGCATATGGCATCTGCTCAAAAGGCAGGATGAATATCTGTCGAGGATTTCCTTGACACGGATGGGGGTATTTGTCAGGTGGTAATAGGGAGTCGTAATCGTGGGGGTGAGTAATGAGTACATTAGTGGCTTTATGGTGCAGATAGGGGGCGGGAGGGTGTATGCAAACTAGAACATGCTAAGATATATTGATTGAAGCTTCAGTCGCTCCATTCTTCTAGCTTTATGAGAGGACGATTTGAAAGCAGTACAACAAATGATGGAACATACGGAAATGCCCTGCGCAGATAAAGCTGCTAATCACATTTGGGCTATAGGAGTTACGAATTTTTTGTGCTGAAATAGTTTATGTTTACAGGTCATCACCACATGGCACATTTCAATTTATGCTGCAATTATGAATGGAGGTCTGAGTAGTTGCCCAAACCGAGGCCCCTTTTCTGCCCTTTTTCTCATCGCTCACGTTGAGCAAATAAATTCTAGATACATCTCAAGAGTTGCCGGCGAACTAGGTTGCAGTGATGAAGAAAGGGACTTTTTGATCGAAAGTTGTCCTCTGTTTATCCTCGACGCAATTACCTCCTCTACTAGGAAGTTTGTGGAGAAGCTGAACAGAGTACTCGAAAGCAAATCTTCCGCTTTTCGAATTGTCTTCTTTTCATCAATTCTCAACAAGATTAGAGAGGTATTACCTTTCGAGTGGTAAAGACTCATGATAATTTCGGCGTTCGACGCTAACTCGACGCAGTTTGGGAAACAGTTTCCGAGTGGATAGCTTTCAGAGCAATTTCAACTTTGCTTGGTAACAGGAAACCTAGCTCTATCTAAGTTTGGCACAACTGTTTTTATACGAAAGAGTTTCAGCTTTTCAATAAGAAGCGTAGATCGCCAAGGTGTGGGGCGGGGCATAAATGATCTGACCCAGGGGTAAACCACGCTGCAACTGCATACTTCAAATTACATATAAACTCCTTTATTTCCATCTAAAAGTGAGGGAGATTGTAGCAAGAACCCGATTATTGGGGAGCAGGAGTCGTATTGGTGCGACCAAGTCCTTGACGTGGCTTTCGCTCCGGTAAAGACAATAAACAAGGACTTGCCCTGCATATTCAGGAGCATTTTTGAAGTACATCATTCCGGGGCTTTCGTCTATGCTCGTATCCCCTCCATACGCAAACCTTGCAAATGTGCATTTCGAACAAAGTGAATTTTTGTTTCTCTCTCCACCGCTCCCTTCCCTGTATGTGTTGTCGTCTCTCAATATTGATTGTTTATAGGTGCTTGTATAAAATGAAAAAGATGTTTTCTCATAGCCTTATTGTCATATAAAAATGGAAATGCCATTTGGTAATTAACTCTCTGTGTGTCTATCTATAGGAAGCGGTTGTGATAGGTTCCATGGAACAAATTGAAAGTTACATAAGGGATTGGCAAGGAGGCTTTCCGAATGAAACGATAGGTGACGCTTCAGAAGCTCTACTAACGGCGTACTAAGGCGCTGGACGGACTTCAGGAACTCTCACCACTTACCTTAGGTTTCAGCGTGATGGAGGGTACAAAACGGCGGAGGGCATCGTAAGAAGTTGTACGCTACTGATTTTATCATACATTCCGATGATATCGAATGCCTTGCCTATTGGACGAGGCGCTCTGGACTCGCTCGGACAGATTCTGCTCTCAGGTCTATTTTTACTCCTTTCGCACAACGGTGAGTCTTCTTCACCTGAGAGCAGCAGGAATCTTCCGCCCCAACACATGGTATGGGATTCTTCGTGATTTACTTTGAAATGGCTCGACCCGTGTTTATTTCGCAGCTCGAGGAGGAGAGAGTAAGATGCAAGGCGTGAAGAATTGGAAGCCATGTGAGTATCGTCAAGGAAAAGTGGCATAACGGAACTTCTCCGCTAAGTTCTTCTCCAGCATTAGGCTCCATTTCTTCTTGTCCCTGCTGATCGCTTTTCGCTTTCCATGACTTGCTCTGGCCGTTCTTAGAGCTCTAATATGTCTCTATGAGTTATGGTATTGCAATCTTAATGCTCTGATCTATTGCACTTTCCCATCAATCACGCCATTCCCATTTGGTCATGAATGTACATGGCTTTTGAACCTACTGTTATTGTCCTTAGCACAATTTCCGAAAGGCTTAGCCTGTTTGCACTTAGCTTGATTTTGATAAGAACTTGAAAAAGGATGTGCGTAACTGATAAGAACGTGTGAGAGGGTGTGACACGGAGTAAATGTTAGTTATGGGAACGAGGCTCATGGTAAACTCGCCTGCCCGTTTTCATCCGAAAATTCTTCGAGATTTTACGCCGACATTTTCACCTAATGGTAAGCTCAAAGAATTAAAATTACGACCACATGAGAAAATTGACATATTTATTTCTGACCTCAGTTGAACTGAAGCTGTTCACTTTTATTAACAATAATATCACAATGATAACAATTATCTGTACATTCGGCAAACAAAAACTCGAAGTGACGCGAGATGCTTATACCCTTGTAGTGTTGACGAGGATCGCCAGCTTTTCGTAGATCACCTCAATATCTTGCTGAAAACAAACAAAATCAAGTTTTGCCTGTAACTCAACATTTTTGAGATATCTTTCGCATGGTAAGTGGGGCAAAACACAGCAGTTAACAATCAGAAACATCGTAAACAAACAAATTCCTTTTGCTTCAATATTGGGACGAAGTTACGATGCAAAGACTGCTCATTAGAAATCAAGGTAGAAGGTGTCAGGGATGTAGGAATGAAGAAAACCCGGGAAAACGGCTCACTATTCAAGGTATGGGCTCCATTTTGCCCGTTGATTAGCGCGTCAGGCGTGTTCATCGGTGCTGACCTCATCAACGCGAACTTCTTCTGCTAGGCGGCTACAGCCAGACGGCGAGGTGGTTGGGGCAGCGGTGATAACGGCGCGGGAACGGTCATGCTTGATCGCCGGGGCATATATTTCGTTGTGAATTGCGTCTGTACTCTCAGGGACTCGGATCTTATCGTGGAATTCTGCTTCGAAAAGAGATTGACAGGAAGATGCTGAATAACAGTATGCCTACATAAAGGGATTATAGGCCCCAAAAGATTCGGAATGGCGCTTTTACTACGAAGGTCGCCCGCACTAGCTAAGCCCTTTCCTTACGAAACGCTGCCATTTTGGAAAATCTGCCCCCAGGTGGCTGAATGAAAAAAGAATGGTGTTGGATGCTGATACTGTTGTCATCGTCGTTCACTTCTTATTTTGAATGTGCAGTTCGCTACAAGTAGTTTATCTTCCTTTTGTTCTGCATAATACGTCATCAATCAGACGTCATGTTTGATGACACTACACCGTCTTCCGAAATTAACCCGAACAAGCGAACTCTGTCCTCGTCTGAAGAGCGGGCAGAATCAAGATGCTGTTTCTCGAGTATTAAGCCGTTCTTCTTGATTCTTTCCTTCACAACTGTGCCATTCTCTATGTACTTTCATTTCCAACAGCGACCTATTTTATACCATCAGCTTTTAGAGTCGATCGAGTCGAGTAATCCGTCCACTTTTTATCTGAATATTTGAAGAAATGAAGACCGCCTATTGACCTGCCAGAGGTTGACCTGGTAAAAGATCGAAGATCCCATCCCCGGGACCATGTGCACGTTCATGGCTTTGCTTACCGTAGTTTAGTTTCGCCCTTTTTTCATGGAAGTATCTGTCATCACCTAAGCACTACTCCCTTTTGTTTGCATTATGCGCCAATTTGCGGCTCATTGATCAGTTTAGTCATTGCCAGCTGTAAACTACTTGTACGGATTTTCATTACCTTTTAAAATATGCACAATGTGGCAATCTGTGGAACTCACCCTAGAATTCCATAGTCCACAGTGGATATGAGAATAAGATGCAAGCAGCAGCACCACATCGACGCATCCTTGCTGCTCCAGTTGACACGCGAGTGAGGTGAGCGCACAGAGGCAGTAGGCCAGCGACGGAGAAGGATCACCTGAAGGGATGTTGTTCAGCGAAGTGACTTTCGAGGAGAAAGTACAAGAAGGAGCACAACTTACTATTGTAAATCAACGACAGCGATAG